ATTAACAACAGATACTTTCCAAATACAAACATTAACAAAATTTTCATAACGAAAACAAGTGATAAATATATTGCTATTCCAATGAATGATAAAGATTATCACTGATCATACATCTCAGTCAGCTAACTATCTTTTCTGAAATAGATAAAAATGGATAAAATGACATATACTTAATAAACAAAACTATGCAGAAAATACAAATAGATATTTCTGTTGTACATCCTATCAGAAATTGAATTTCCTCTTATACAATTTATTTAATCAAGGATAGAATGATTTCTGCATATGAATAATTTGAAAAAGCTTAAAAACAGGTTGCTACGCCACAGACACCGCTTGTGCCGCAGGTATCGACGGGATTGTCGTTAATATAACAACCCCAGTCAATGAAATAGTCCCAAAGGACGCCAGAACTGGATACTTGACATGCGATTACGCCCCTACTACCTGCAGATATGGTAATAGGACTGCCTGCTCCCGGACCATCAGGGTAGCATGGAGAATCAGAGAGAACATTGAAGCCCGTGCTCTGGGGGGATTGCGCATAAGCCGTCATGGCTACGACAATTACAAAGATTGTCAAAAGGTAAACTTTGGTTGTGAACATCATTCTTGTTCTTGTATAAGCGAGTATGGATTTGCTTAAAAAACAGAGCTAGAGAAGGATGATTTCCTGGTCTTTATATAAGTTTCTGGTGCTTTGCTCTTGGCACAACTATAAGAACACAATTAACTCATGTCGTCATAAGATGACGTCAACTATGCAAGATATATTTTAAGAAGAAAACTTAAAAAAACATTAAAAAGTCCTTTGTCATACAGTGTACTTTATTTTATAGCTTATTTTTTATAACAATCGTCAGAACACAATTAACTCATGTCGTCATAGGCTGACGGCCAACTATGCAATATATATTTTAAGAAAAAAAATTAAGAAGAAAACTTGAAAAAAAAAACATTAAATAGAAAACTAAAAAAAAAACATTACGAAGAAAACTTAAAAAAACATTAAGAAGTTTTTTGTTATACAGTATACAGTCAAACCTGTTTATACCGGACATGTATATAACCGGAATCTCTTTATATCGGACAGATTCTTGTTCTATATGAAAATTCTTTGTTTATACCGGAAATCTCTTATAAATCTCCATATACCGGATCCGGAAAATTTTTGAAAAATCAGCTAGTGCAAATTGCTAACAGTATTTACGATGTGAGTTCATTATATTTTTTGTCGCATTACTTAATATACCTCTTGCTTTATTTTATAAAATGTTAAGAAAAAGACGAAAAGATCAACCTTATCTGATAAATCAAATGAAGAAGCGGTAATAAGATCAACCATCTCTCTCCACCAGGTAGTTACTGCTTTGAAAACACTAACACAATTGTTACAGTATTCAACCGGGCCGGAGATTCTACCAGAAGCCATTGCTGTACTTTATAGGGTACAGAGATTAATGGAATTAAAATACACAGAGTCTTAAACAAAAAACTTTAGATAATTATGTTAATAAGGGCTAACATTCGCCATACTTGTATACATGAGAAGTTAACACGCTTTCTGATATATAAATAAATAACAACATACTATTGGTCCATTTCTATATACCGAATATCACATGATTTTTCTTTTTTCCGGTATATGCACATATACCGGAATCTCGTTATACCGGACGTTAAGAGCTGGACCAAACCGTCCGGTAGATAGTTTTCCCGTCTCACATGTATTTCAGCATCAGCCGATTTTTCAGCATCAGCCGATTTTTCAGCATCAGCCGTGACATTAACTTTTATGAGAGTCCTCTTTTACCAAATATCCTTTTAATATTAAATGTTTGTGTCTGGCCGTTTTTGCCCTCATTCGGATAATTTCTTAACACAGTCAGGTTTTATTATCTTAGTAATTGGGGGAAAGCTTTTTATTTATCTACTACTACCAATAGAACCGTGTACAAGTGTGCTTGGGAGGTGATATGACCATGTGCAGTTGAGATATTCGGAAAACATTTAAACACGATCTTAGCAGTCAGTGGATGTAGCGTTCAGTTAAATCCATCCTTTGTTTAATTAGGTTATGCTATATTAATATATGATGACATTCGCAAAAATAGATGATCGTCAAATTGGGCCTTTTATGGTAATCATCTCCATTTCACATATAACCCCAAATCTAAGCGACCAATAGTAATTTATAAATATAGTGTTTTTTTAAATAAATCAATAATTGTAAAATGAAAGGCAGTAAAAGAATACGGTATTATTTGTTGTGAGAA